ATGTGCCTAAGGAGAAGAGGGGAAAACTAGAAGCTTCTGGGAGATGAGGTGTGCACTTGGGGCTTGCTAAGGATCACAAGGGCTGGCTGATTTGGGACTTGACGAGCCAGCAGCTGACTGTGTCAAGGGATGTGAAGTTCCTTGAGTCCTTGTACTACAAAGAGTGGAAGCAGCAGCAGCAGCAGCAGAAGCTTCCTACGACACCGCTAATTGTCGAGGCCGATGAGGTGCAGCGGCCTTCGAGGCAGGTGGAGGTTTGTGTCTCCAAGGAGGAGATCTCTGGGGTGACTGATGATGGGGGAGAACCTGAGGTGGAGCAGCAGCAGCAGGAGGAGCAAGGTGCTCCACAAGGTGCCGGACATACGGCTGACCGTCCTAGGAGGGATGTGCACCCTCCTAACAGGCTGACCTATGCAAGCAGTGGCAAGCCAAAGGTGGTGAGGGCTGGGAGTGTGGCTGAGCAGTGTGATGAGGATGAGATAGCACACTGCTACTGGGCAGCCGTCCCTGAGCCCAAGACGCTAGCTGAGGCATTGAGCGGGCCCGATGCTGAAAAGTGGAAGCAGAGTGTGAAGGAGGAGTATGATTCTCTGCTAGAGAATGAGACGTGGGAGCTGTGTGAGCTGCCACCCGGGAAGAAGGCCATTTCTTCCAAGCTGATTTTCAGGCACAAGTACGGACCTGATGGGGCGCTGACCCGCTACAAGTCAAGGCTTGTGGCTAAGGGGTTTCAGCAGACAAAGGGAAAGGACTTCAACGAGCTCTATGCTCCTGTGGGGAAAGGCACAACGCTTCAGGTGTCATTGGCAATGGCAGCAAACCGTGGATGGCGGGTGAAGCAGAGGGACATTACCACCGCCTTCCTCAATGGGATCATTCTGGAGGAGCTGTACATGTTACAGCCTAAGGGTTTCGATGATGGGAGCGGCAGGGTGTGCAGGCTGAAGAAGGCCATCTATGGCCTCAAGCAGGCTCCTCGTGCATGGTATCACAAGCTAGAGGAGACAATGCTAGCTGGGGGGTTCAAGAAGAGTGAGTGTGACCACAGCCTGTTCCTGCTACAAGAGAAGGAGCAGTTTCTCATGCTCCTGGTGTATGTGGACGACATCTTGCTCTTCTCTGAGTCGTCTGCAATGATTGAGCATGTGGAGGAGATGCTGGAGATGCAGTTCAAGTGCTCCAAGATGGGAGATGTGAAGTACTATTTAGGGATGCATGTGGAGAGGGACCTTGACAAGGGAGTGTTGAGGTTGCACCAGAGAAAGTATTGTGAGGGGCTGGCTGAGAAGTATGGGCTGCAAGATGGAGGAAAGCCAGCCACCCCACTGCCTTCGGGGTTCACTGTGGAGCCCTGTGCTGATGAGGAGGTGGTGGGTGAGAGTGACAGGAAACTTTTTCATTCCATGGTTGGGGCACTCAACTATGCGGCTAACCACACACGGCCTGACATTGCCTTTGCAACATCCAGGCTTGCCAGTGTGGTTTCACGCCCCAGTCATGAGCAGCTGGAAGCGGCCAAGAGGTTGGTCCGCTATGTGAGTGCAACGACATCAGTGGGTTTGGAGTACAGTGCTGTGAGGCAGAGGCTGCAGAGGGGTGCAGCTGATTTGAGCAAGGGGGAGATGCTCCTGACCTGCTATACTGACGCTAGCTTCAACTCGGTGAAAGCGGATGGCACCAGCATTGGAGGCTATGTGTGCCTGTTCGAAGGTGGTGCAGTGAGCTGGCGTAGTAAGAAGCAGAATGAAGTGGGACAGTCCTCGTGTGAGACAGAGTACATGGCCCTGCATCATGGGGCAAAGGAGGTGGTGTGGCTGAGGCGTTTGTTGGAGGAGATTGGAGTTGGTCAGAGGGAGCTGACTATGATTTTCTGTGACAATGAGTCGGCGGTGAAGCTAGCGAAGAATGCTTGTCTTCATGGGCTGACCAAACAAATCAGGCCTAAGTGGCACTGGGTGAGAAGGCTCCTGGACAAGGAGGTGCGGCTGAAGATTGTGAAGACCCATCAGCAGGCGGCTGACATTTTCACCAAGCGCCTGGCTGAATCTGAGCATTGGAAGGGCATGAAGCTTGCTGGGATGAGTGTGCATTGAGGATGCATGCTTGAGCTATGACATGTGGGATGATGGTTGGCAGCCAGAGGGGGAGTTTGTTGAGTGATGCTACCATTCGCATTCACGTCTGTCTGCCTCCCATCATATGTTCGTGCGTTGCATGCGTGTTGTGAGTGTGTGCAAGAATTTGTGTTTTGTGCGGTTTGGTTTTTCTGAGTATGTGTGTGAATGTTATTTGGCTTGAGCAGATATCTGAAGTGACTCCTCTGCTCAAGAGCTTTCCGAGGAACCAAGTATCGCTTCAATCAGAGCACAAACAAGAAAGTTACGAACGTTGGAGTTCGTATGCTTTTGATATTTGGTTGTGGTGACTATGGGAAGTTGTGGGGTTGACTCAATATGGGGTACAGACTCTTGAGGGTTGGGAAATTCGTCTTTTCTACTGTAGTTGCTGCCAAATGGTTGGGAGAAACCAAACCAGGCTGGCAAGTGTGGCCAAGTTGGGTTGAGGTGGATTGTGGAGGTTGGGATAGTGACAAAGGTCAAAGTTGGGTTGCCTATGGGGAAGGGAATTGTATGGCATGGGGTTTCCTTGGTTGGGGACTCTCTTGGGACCTTCCCTCTCGTCCTTCTCATCCCTTCCACCTGGTTTAATGCTACTCCAATTCTCTTGTGTGAACTTCTGTGAACTTTGTGATTGAGTTAAGATTCTATGGCAGCATACCCCCTAGTGCGCCGAAATTGATAGCTCAAGAAATACTTCACCTTTTTGCATGATTCAACTTGGGAATTGTAGCCACGGAGTAGAGCTACAACATATTCGAGTTTGATGAAGTTTTGACTGTGAACTTTTCGTCGACGGCGTTTCTTGTGAACTCGACTTTTCTGTTCAGAAACTAGGCCCAACGATGTTGAGATATTTTTGCTACTAATCTTCATAGACTCCGTCCTCAGTCTCTAACACAACTCCAGAAACAGCACTAGCACCTACAGGGCCAGCACCTCCAGTACCTCCAGTAGCACCTGTGCCTCTTTTACTAGTACCTCCAGCACGGCCAACTCCAGGAACACCAGCACTAGCACCGCCAGGGCCAGCACCTCCTGAACGTGCAGCTCCAGCACGTCCAGCGCCACCACCAGGACTGCCCCTACAGAGAGCCCACTCGGAAAGCCACTCTGGCAAGAGAGACTCCTGGCGATGCGAGCCAGGACTACCCGGAGCAGCGCCCACAGCAGCAACACCTCCAGTACCTTCAGAAGTACATGTGTCCAGCACCAGTACCTCCAGCACGGCCAACTCCAAGAACACCAGTACTAGCACCTCCAGGTCTAGTACCTCCAGAACCTGCAGCTCTAGCATGTCCAGCGCCACCACCAGTACTGCCCAAACGGACAGCCTACTCGCGAAGCCGCTACGGCGAAAGAGTCTCCTACCGACGTGCACCAGCACCACTAGCACCTCCACCTGCAGAACCTCCAGCAGCAGCACCTCCAGCACCCCTTGCACCCGTAGGCCTCGCAGCACCCCCAAAGCCAGCACCCCCAGAGTCCGCACCCTCAGTGTCACCACCTCCAGCAGCACCAGAGTCCACAGCGACGGGCCGCAGAGGCGGTGAAGACGGTCGAGGCGGAAAGCCTGAAGGGACCGCCAAGCGCGCGGAGCGGCGAGGGGCCACGGTGTCGGTAGCCGTCTGGTCACCCCCCTCAGATGGGCCAGAGGTGTCTGAGGAGACCTCCAAAGGCTCAACCAAGGGGGGTGGCTCTACCTGAGACACACCTGAGGGAGCGGGACCGGGAGGAGGGAGGTGGACTTGTCAGTAGATCTGCACTGTGGATGCCCGATTGATCCTGGAGAGGGTTACAGGCGCGTTCGCCTGGGGGGTTATGGGCGCACTGACCCGCTACTGAAACAAGCCCTTTTATCCCAATGGTCTAGTGGTTGGGATTCTGACATGGTATCAGAGCGGTCTCGGGTTCGATTCCCGATGTATGCACATGTAGGTCGGTGCCGCTGTGCTTAATCCTGGGCCTCCCAGTGTGGGGGGGTGTCAGTAGATCTGCACAGTGGATGCCCGATTGATCCTGGAGAGGGTTACAGGTGCGTTTGCCTGGGGGGTTATGGGCGCACTGACCCGCTACTGAAACAAGCCCTTTTATCCCAATGGTCTAGTGGTTGGGATTTTGACAAGACTACCGAGGGGGGGTCGTCTACCAATGAGAGAGGCGGGAGGGGTACTGGGGAACTGCGGTGGGGGTGAAGACAGTAGAAGTAGACGGACTCGTCAAAGGTGACGTTGCGGGAGGACAGCACATGACGAGAGCCCGGGTGGTAAAACTGCCAGGGCGGTGCATCGGTGGGAAAGCCAAGGAACATGCACCGAAGAGTGCGTGGAGAGAGCTTGCCTGCAAGCAAGTCGCGGACAAGAGAGAGGGAATAACTAGTGCTGTCAACACCCCCTGAAGGGGTACACCTGGCGCAGTGGAAGACGGCAGAGAGTTAAATGAGGAGGAGGCGAGAGGGAGAGAGGAGAGGAGAGGGGAGAAGTACGAAGAAGGAGGTGAGAGAGGGATGAGGCAAGGAGTTGAGGGGGAGCCACCCATGGCGAAACCCTCGTAGTAACCCCCTATTACAAAGGGGGGAGGTGAGAGAGTGACGAGGAGAGGAGGTGGGGGGAGCCAAGCACGGCGAAACCCCTCTTAGTAACCCCCAAATCCCCACACCCATTCAACCACCCCCCCTTAACCTCACCCCCCATAACAGCCGCCCCCTTGGACCACACCCCTGCCCCACCCACGGTAGTCTTTGCAGCGGGGTCTCTGCTGGCGATGTAGCTGCTGGCGGGGTCTCTGCTGGCGGGGTCTCTGCTGGCGAGGTCTCTGCTGGCGGGGTCTCTACTGGAGGGGTCTCTGCTGGCGGGGTCTCTGCTGGCGGTGTCCTCTGCTGGCATGGTCTCTGCTGGCGGGGTCTCTGCAGATGGGGTCTCTGCTGGCAGGGTCTCTGCTGGCGGGGTGTTTGCTGGCGGGGTCTTTGCGGACGAGGTCTCTGCTGGCAGGGGTCTCTGCTGGCGAGGGTCTCTGCTGGTGGGGTCTCGGCTGGCAGGGGTCTCTGCTGGCAGGGGTCTCTGCTGGCGAGGTCTCTGCTGGCGGGGTCTCAGCTGGCGGGGTCTCTGTTAGCGAGGTCTCTGCTGGCGGGGTCTCTGGTGGCAGGGGTCTCTGCTGGCGAGGTCTCTGCTGGCGGAGTCTTTGCTGGCGGGGTGTCTGCTGGCGGTATCCTCTGCTGGCGGGGTCTCTACTGGCGGGGTCTTTGCGGATGGGGTCTCTGCTGGCGAGGTCTCTGCTGGCTGGGTCTCCTGCTGGTGGGGTCTTTGCGGACGAGGTCTCTGCTGGTGGGGGTCTCTGCTGGCGGGGTCTCGGCTGGCGGGGGTCTCTGCTGGCGGGGTCACTGCTGGCGGGGTCTCTGCTGACAGGGGTCTCTGCTGGCGGGGTCTCCGCCAGGGTCTCTGCTAGCGGGGTCTCCGCTGGCGGGGTCTCTGCTGGCGGGGTCTCTGCTAGCGGGGTTTCTGCTGGCGAGGTCTCTGCTGGCGGGGGTCTCTGCTGGCGAGGTCTCTGCTGGCGGTGTCGCTGCTGGTGCGGTTCTCTGCTGGCGGGGTCTCTACTGGCGGTGTCGCTGCTGGCGGGGTCTCTGCTGGCGCTGTCGCTGCTGGCGGTGGCGCTGCTGGCGGGGTCGCTGCTGGCGGTTCCGCGTGTTTGCTTGCTGGCGGGCTTGCGGGTCGCGTACAATGTGGAGCGTGCAGTGACGGAGGAGTAGCTTCTCCCGCCATTCCCGCCACACCTGCCATTCCCATCGCTCCCTTCACAGCAGCTGCGAAGTCGATGGGAGGGCGGGCGAGGACGGAGCTGGACGGGACGAAACGCGGGCTGGCGCTGATGCTCAAGTGACGGCCACCACCCCTTTCCCCTTCTCCTCTCCCCCCCCCCCCCCTCCCCCCCCCCCCCCCCCCCCCCTCAACTACGTCCGTCGATGTTTCCACGCCAGGGAGCCGCGACGAGGCAGCGTGACGGGGAAGGGCGTCGGGGAACGCAGTGGCGGGTCGAGGGGCCGACGGGGGGGAAGAGCGGTGGCGAACAGCGGGTCGACGAGCGCCGTCACAACCGCCGCGACCGTTGCGTCTGTCACGACTACTGGGACGGATTTTTCTATGGGCGGGCGACGGGGAAAGACGGACAGAGCCGCGATTTGCTGCTTGACGGGACGCGCCATCGTGAAAGCTAATGGTGGGCCCTTAGGAGATTAGGTCGGGAACGACCTAGCTCAATACCATGTCAAGATACTAACGTAACTTTTAGGGCCTGGGCTTAGGAGCCTAGGCCAACGTATGTCAAGAGAATTGTGGCCAAAGGAAGCGAGAATGGTTGGGTTCACTATAGCACACAAGGTACATATAGCAAACTAGCAAAGGTGTACCACCAAACAAGCAATTAACGAACTACACTACAATAACTACACCAAGCATGATAGATATTAAATATTACTTTAACGGCGGGAGGACAGCACACGACGAGAGCCTGGGTGGTAAAATTGCCAGGGCGGTGTGTCGGTGGGAAAGCCAAGGAACATGCACCGAAGAGTGCAGGGAGAGAACTTGCTCGTAGGCAAGTCGCGGACAAGAGAGAGGGAACCCCAGACCCGAAACGCCGACGCATCACCAACCTCCCCCGTCCACCGCAAAGTGGGGGAGGTCTCCGGGTGGGAGACACGGGGCCAGAGGTTGAGCTGCTCAGCGGCGTATCGGACCGCAATCGGCCACAGAAAATGGGGAGCCGCCGCATGGATCGTGGAGGTGCGAGCAATCTCCATGACTAGACCAATGCGGCGTTCAGCAATCCCATTCTGCTGTGGAGAGGCCGAAAGGGTGTACGGCTGGACGATGCCCTCAGCACCACAGAAGTCGTCGAGGAGGCGGGAACAAAACTCACCACCTCGGTCAGAGTGCAGCCGCAGGCGTGGCAAGGAGGGGTGGCCAAGACGGTGGTGCCAGAAGAGAGTCTGGTGCGTGAGGAGACGACAAGAACAAGATGCAGTGACCTCAACCGACGCAGCTACCTGACCTGACTCAGCTACCAGTGCAGACTTAGTGGTCAGTGTGTATAGGCCAGACCCAGGCCTCCGAGTGAACGTGGCGAGGTGCTCACCAGTACGCGAGTCCGTACAGATCGCCACGAGCTCGCCTCCAGGCTGGGTGACAGTGACCCACTGGTCATGGAGGACAGAGGTAGCCACCAAGTTTTTAGCAAACGAGGGGAGGTGGAGACCTATGAGGAGGCTGGAAGGGGCCGCGGGATAGGGGAGAACAGTAGCACCACACGCGATTATCGAGCCCTCGGAGGGTTCGGCTGGTGTGACAGGGACAGGGGCTGTGAGCGGTGTGACTGTGGTGCTGTCGCGGAAGAAGCAGCAAGACGTGCCTGAGTCTAGTGTAAAAGTGTGCAAAGCTTCCTCACGCTCTACCCCTGCGCTCGCTGAGTCGCACACACCGAGACTAATAGCCTCTACGCCACCAGGTGCCTCTACATCCCCAGACTGAGTACCCCAAAACCCTCCGCCACCGGGGCTGCCCCACCGGACAGCCCACTCACGAAGCTGCTACGAGGAGACAGTCCCCAGCGGACGCTGCTGCTGCTGCTGTCCACCCCCAGAACCTCTCCGTCTACTAGCGAAACTACCAGCAGGAGTAGACTCACATGTACCTCCAGTAGTAGCACCCCAATGGACAGCCCACTCACGACGCTGCTGTGGCGAAAGCGGCTTCCGCCGACGAGCACGGCTAGCTCCGCCACCGGGGCTGCCCCACAAAATAGCCCACTCGCGAAGATGTTGCAGCGAGAGAGACTCCTGTACACTCGGCTGCCGCTGACGTAGGACAGTGATAGTGGCCATGGTAGGCAGTGTTAGTCAGCAGCAGCGGCACAAGGTTCAAAGTTGCGATTGGAGTGGCGGTAGTTGGAGCGGTAGGTGCAGTGGCAGCAGTGGTAGGAGCAGCAGCGGTAGCAACTGTAGGAGCGTGCGCATGCGGTAGTGGCAGTTGGTGGTACGCTCGGGGCAGGGCAGGAGCGGGCATGCAGCACGAGCACCCAGGGCAAGTCAGCGCTGGGCAGTGAGGAAAGGCAAGACAGGGCTGGGCAGCGTGCAGGGCAGCGATGGCGCGGACAGTGCATGGCGCAGGCAAAGGCAGGGCGCTGGCGCGGTCAGGGCAGGGCGCTGGCGCGTGGCGCAGGCAGGGCAGGGCGCGTGGCGCGCTGGCAAGGCAGGGCGCATGGCGCAGGTAGGGCAGGGCGCATAGCGCGTTTGCAGTGCAAGGCGCGTGGCGCGCTGGCAGGGCAGGGCGCGAGGCACGCTGGCATGTGACGATGGATATCTTGGAACCTGGCGTGCTGGCAGGGCAGGGCGCGTGGCGCGCTGGCAGGGCAGGGCGCGTGGCGCGCTGGTAGGGCAGGGCGCGTGGCGCGCTGGCAGGGCAGGGCGCGTGTGACGAGAAACGAGAATGAATGCATTGAGCAGAAAGGGGAGTACAAGTAGCAAACCCTAAAGTGTTGTACCCCATATGAACTGCCCCACTACAACCTACACAGACTATAGCATATATGCCTGACACACCCCCATAGGCAGAGTGGGGGAGAACAAGGGGTCAGAAGACCAGTCAAGCAAAGCAAAGCAAGCTCAGGGTGGATCACAACGTCACCACACAGTCCGAGCACAAGAGCAAGGCCACAAGGCCAGTTCACATGCAAGATCATATATATAAAGGTAAACAAGAAAGTGCAGGTATAGAAAGAGGACAGTACAAGCAAGGTCAAGAAGAGAGCAAATGAGGCCAAGTAGGCACAAGACCTAGCACAGTACAGAAGCGCTGATGATCACAAGGCGGAAGGGCCTTGGTGAAAATATCAGTAGTGTTGGCCTCAGAGGCCACGTAGGTGAGGCGGAGCTGACCACACTACTGCAGCTCACGAGCCAGGAAGTAGCGGAGAGCAATGTGCTTCGTTCTGTGCTCCAGTCTGTGCTCCCGACACAAGGCCAGCATGGCCTTGTTGTCTACGTACAGAACTGGAGGAGAACGAGGCGGCTCTCCGAGGTCAGTCAGCAGGTAGGTGAGCCAGCGTAGCTCCTGTGCAGCCATGGCCCCCGCGTAGATCTCAGCCTCACAGCTGGAGCCGAGAATAGAAGCGAGCGGGTAGACCGCCACGAAACAGAGCCGGAGCCAAGGCTGAAGGTGTAACCCTGTGACGACCGCTGCAGAGCCTGGTCGTCAGCCCAAGAAGCGTCTGCGTGACCTGTGAGGACCACTCGACGCCGCCCTCCAAGCACTAGCCCCATGCCCGACGTACTGCACACGTAGCGCAACACCCTCTTCGCTGCAGCCATGTGCTCTAGTCGGTGTCTCCCAGGAGCAATATAGCGTGCCAAGATGCTAAGAGGGTATGCAAGGTCAGGTCGTGTGCAGGTCATCAGGTACATGAGGCAGCCAACAAGCTCTGGGTACGGGCCACTCGGCTCTACGGACTCATCCGAAGGCAGAGCTGAGAGCGAGTGGCGGGTAGACAGAGGAGTGGCCTGAGGCGAGGAGTACGTGAAGCCGAAGCGCTGAAGGACCAGCTGCACCATGTGTGACTGAGTCAGGGTAATGGTGCGCTGTGCTCTGTCCCGGGTGATCTTCAAGCCAAGGTAGCTGCGCAGTTCACCCAGGTCTGTGCACGTGTGTCTCTTCTGCAGCTCGGACTTCACGTGGGCGAGTCCAGCAGTGTCAGCAGTGGCAAAGACCAAGTCGTCGACGTACACAAGAATGTAGAACGGCGGCAAAGAGGTGTCGGTGCGCAGAAACAGCGACGGGTCGGCTGTAGAAGGAGCAAACCCAAGAGCCGCAAGTGTAGTCCTCAGTGTGTCGTGCCACTCACGGGGCGCCTGGCGGAGACCGTAGACTGGCCGCCGGAGGCTCCATTGGGTACCAGGAGGAAACGACCTAGTGAAGCCAGGTGGGCGGCGCAGCCAGATCTCCTCGTGCAGGCTGCCCTGCAGGAAAGCTGTGCTGAACTCAAGAGAGTGAAGCTCGTAGTCGCGCTGAGCAGCTATGTGCAGCAGCACCCGAAGAGTGGTCATCTTCGAGGTGGGAGAGAAGGTCTGAAAGTAGTCAACTCCCTGCCGCTGTCTGAAGCCTCGAGCCACGTAACGCGCCTTGAAGACAGGCGAAGAACCCGGCGGCCGCTTCACCCTGAAGATCCACATGCCACTGACGATGTTCGCCCGAGGTGGGGGAACCTCGTCAATGTAGGTGCTTGTGGACTTCCAGGAAGCCATCTCTGCGTCCATGGCCGATTGCCACTGAGAGGAGTAGGGACCCTCGATCGCCTCAACGTACGATCGAGGAGTCGGGATGTCTGGTGCATCTGGGTCTCCCTCAGGGGCAATCAGCGTGGACACGAGATGAGGCAAAGCAGCAGCAAAGCACTGGAACTCCTCCTGCCTGTCCTCAAGGACGTCCGTGCTAAGAGCACACTCACCCCCGACAGACGGAGGACAGACAGACTCAGACTCAGCAACGAGACTGGCAGCGTAGTCTAGACGACAGCGAGCAACGAAGTCGACAAGCTCAGCAACTAGGGCAGATGCAGCAGTGGACTCAAAGGAAGGGTTAGTGAGAACAGTAGCCAGAAGACGCGTGAAAGAAGGACTAGCAGCACGAAGAGAGTCAGACTCCGGGTCAGCAAGAGTAGGAAGAGAGGAATCTGGAGGAGATGGTAACGGGACACGCA